CAGTGTGGTGCAATGGAGAACGCCACAGATTTGGATGCCAGGGTCCTAGGTCTGGGAAACCTGGCTCTGCCACCTGAGCGATCTTGGGCAAATCCGTTGAGTTTTCTGGGCCTCAGTTTTCTTCTCTGTAAGCTGGGAGGTGGCCTAAAGGACCTCAAAAAGCCTTCTTAGCCATGCAAAATGGGTGTCCTGGGGCTGGAAGGTCATTTAATCTGATGCCCTCATTTTACAGAGGGGGAAATTGAGGCCCAGAAAAGTTAAGTGACTTTCCCACAGTCACAGAGATAGCAAGCAGAACTTGAACCCAGGACCTTTAACTCCAGATTCTGTATACTGCTACTTTCAAAGAACTGAGTTTAAATCCAGGCTCTGACGCACAATTTTTTTTAATTGTTTTTAATTTATGTATTTTGTTTAAATCAATTTCATTTATATATGTGTGTATATAGATATATCCATATATCTCTCTATATATGTATATGTGGATATATATCCATATCTAGATATACGTGGATGTCTCTATAGATATATAGAGATATATCCATATATATCTGTAGATACAGATATATGTCCATATATGCCTCTCCAATCTCTTACCCAGTGAATTAGCTCTTATAACATGAAAAGGAGGGGAACTGGAAGGGGGTCGAGAAGTTTAGCAAAATGAACTGATGCGAGAATCCCGTGTGACGGTGTAGCCAGAGTTCCACACTCACATCCCTCCACCTCAGCAAAGAAGGGAGGGAGGAGTGTGTCTTCCTATCTTTTGCTCCAGAGATGAGAAAATTCACCTCCCTCCCAACCTTAGCTTAACTCAGTCTGGCGCACTAATTGGCCGTGTGACCTTGCCTCGGTTTCCCCAACTGAAATAAAGTAATAATGATGCCCCTCAAGGGGCCATTGTGAAGAAACCTTCAGTTGAAGGTTCATTAATGAACTAATGGGATGAATAAATAGAGTTTGTGTGCCTCTGTGGCATATACAAGTATGAACGTCCCCTTGTCTGTGTGTTTTTATCTATGTGTGTCTTCACAGATGTTGATACACTGTGGAATGACTTGATAACATTGATATTGAGAGGCAGAGTTGGGTTTTGCTAGAATGGCCCGGAAGAGCTGGTTGTTAAATTCTAAGTGAGCATTTACACACCTTAGAAATCTATGAACAGTGTCCATTAGGGCTTGGTTTGTAATCTTGTTGATTGTCTAGATTTAAGAAAGTGAAAATGTTAATAAGTGTGTCCTTTATGTATTTTTTTTCTGGAGAGCCTGATGTAAAACATTTACTACTGTACCACTGGGCAGAGCCTTTTAGGATGTTCTGTACACTTGTCATGTTTCAAGGGAAATTCTGGTCTATGACATCCTTGAATTTCTGTTACAACAACAGCAAGCACTCATTAGGCGCCTGTGGTGTTCAGAGCACTGAGGTCGGTGCTAAGGATACGACAAAAGGAGCCGAATGATGGGTTTGGAGTCAGACGATCCAGGCTTAGAATCCAGGCTAGATCTGTGTGACCTTAGGCAAGTCATTTTGGGACCTCAGTTTCCTCATCTGTAAAATGAGGGTGTTGGACCAGATGACCTCTCAGGTACCTTCTGGCTTTAAGTCTGTGACCCAGCTAGAGCCTGTATTTTGATAAGGGGATACAATGCGTAAACAGACAAATGAATACAAAATAATTTGAGGGAGACGGCTGTCGGCTAACAGGAGAATTAAGGGACAGCACCTGAAGCAAGTCTAGAAGGGAATTAGGGATTCTAAAGTGGAAGTGAGAAACGAGGACATTCTTGGTGTGAGGGATACAGCCTGTGCAAAAGCATGGAAGGGGGAGATTGTAAGAAGCAGGGTATGTGAAATTCAGGAGAATGCCACTTGCCCTGTTGGAACAAAGAGTGGGGAAAGGTTAAAATCGGTGTGGAAAGGTGTCCTGGAGACGGATGGTGCAGGGCTTTAAATACCAGGCTGAGGAAATTCTGTGTTATCCTAGAGGCAATAAAGAGCTGCTGAAGGTTGATGAGGGCTAGAATCAGAAGGACTATGGTGCGAGTTGGTGTAAGGGAATGGATGTAACACATGTTGTGTCGGAGGCGGATGCATGTATAAGCTCTAATGACTGAATGGATGTGGGGAGACAAAGAGAGACAGAGAGGTGGAGAAAGAGAGAAATGGAGAGAGACAGAGACAGAGACAGAGAGAGATATTCATAGTGTGTGTCTCTCCATAGAGCAGATTTAAGAAGTGAGGGTGATGTATATATGTGTGTGTGTATGGAGAGAGAGAGAGAGAGAGAGAGAGAGAGAGAGAGAGAGAAAGGAAAATGAGATAGAGAAAAGAGGAGGAGAGGAAAGACAGAGAGAGAGGACGGGAGAGAGAGGGAAGGGGAGAGAGTGTTTGTGGCATGTGTGGGAGCCTCAGGGTGGGGAGGTGGGCTCCCCCTGGAGAGCCTGGACGTCAGCTCACGCTTTGCAGCCTGGGGCCAGCCCTCGGACAGGGGCAGCTAAAGTTTCTGCCTGTTTGTGTCTAGCTGTCATATTCAGGGATTAGGAGCCACGGCAGAAGCTTCTGGGTTCCTTGTAGGGGTCTGAGGAATCCCAATCCGTTCCCACCTGGGACTGTGGGGGCCGCAGAGCAGAGCAGAAAGTGGATGGCAGGAACTGCCAGGGGACCTTCCCCTCCTCTTTCCCCCATGGGCTTTCGGAAGCAGACAGATTACTGGAGGAAGAGGATAGGGTGTTTCGGGTACCGGGGGATATGCTTCTTAGCCTCAGGAGGGGTAGTGCAAAGTTGGGGGGATGCTGTGGGGAATGAGGAGTCTTAAGGCTGCTAATAGTAGAAAGCCTAGGATCCCAAGGACCTCACAAGCCTTCTGGTGCAACCCACCCCTTTTACAGGTGAGGAAACTGGCTCACAGAGGTATTAAGTGGCCTAGACAGAGTTGGAACCCAAGATCCCTGGACTCCAAATTCCAGGGAAGTGGCTGGAGAAATTGAGAAGGGAAGAAGTCTGAAGAAAGTGGTGGGGGGTAGAGGAAAAAAAAGAAAGGGAAGGAGGGTAAGAAAGCCTGGGGACAGGGGCTGAACAGAGAGCATGAGGACCACAAGGACCCCTCGAGATTGCACAGATGTGTGTGTGTGTGTGTGTGTGTGTGTCTCTCTCTCTCTCTCTCTCTCTCTCTCTCCCTCCAGAGTCGGCATTTTTTCCTTCTTTGTCCCTGTGTCCCTAGCACCTAGCCCGACGCTTGGCACTGCCGAATGACTGATTGACTAATTGATGGTTAATCCAGTTCCCCTGTTTTACAGAGAAGGGGGAGGTGATTTGACTAAGGTGGTGCAGAGAGCAGTAGGAGGCCAAGTAGGAGGCGGTCGGGTCCAGTCCCTTCACTTGACCAATGAGGAGCCAAGTCCTCGAAAGGTCGGGGGACCTGTCCAGGGTCACCCAAGCACCAAGCGTCCTCCCCGTCCAGATCCAGCAAGCTTTCCACTGTACCAGGCGGCCTCCCTGGGGAAACTGTGGGAGTGAAGAATGAATCTGGTTCCTCTGACTCCAAATCCAGCTCTGTATTTGCTTTCCCAGGGCTCAGGGATACTCTGTGTTATGGACACAGAAAAGAGAAAGCTAGAGGAGAGGGCAGGGCCCTTCCATCTGCCAGGGACAGGATCTGAACCTGGGGAACGGGCGTCCCCCTGGTCCCCTCCAAGCCAAAGGTTGGACTGCCGACCCAGGTGATCAGCTTGAGGCCAGGGAAACTTCTCAGAGAGGATGCCTATGACAGGCAGGCCTGGGAATAACCACAGCAGGGGCTGTTGTGTTGGAAAGGAGACCCCAGTGACCCCTTTGGGGTTGGACTCACTGCTCTGTCCCTCTTCTCGCTGCCTGCTCTAGCCACGGGGCTTGGGACCCGGAGTCTGCAAGACTGAGTTCTTCCTTCCTTCCTTTCTCTCTCTCTTCCTTCCTTTTTTCCTTCTTTCCCTCCCTCCTTCCTTCCTTCCTTCCTTTCCCTCCTTCCACCCTTCTCTTTTTCCTCCCTCCTTCCCTCCCTCCCTTCTTTCCTCTCTCCCTTTCCTCACTTCTCTCTCTTTCCTTCCTTGCTTCCTCCATCTCTTCCTTCTTCCCTTTCTCCCCCCCTCCCTTTTTTCCTTTTCCCTCCTTCCTTCCTTCCTCCTTTCTCTCTTTCCTTCCTCCCTTCCTTCCTCTCTCCCTCCTTCCCTTCCTTCCTTCCTCCCTCCCTCCCTTCTTTCCTTCTTTCTCTCCCTTCCTCCCTTCTCTCTCTCCTTCCTTCCTTCTTTCCTCTCTTCCTTCCTCCCTTTCTCCCTCCCTCCCTTTTCTTCTTTCCCTACTTCTTTCCTCCCTCACTTCTTTCTTTTCTTCTTCCCTCCCTTCCTTCTTTTTTCCTTCACTCTTTCCTTTTTCCTTCCTCCCTCTTTCCCTCCCTCCCTTTCTTCTTCCTTGATAAATCAATGAACGTGGACTCAGGAAGACTTGAGTTCAAATACAGACTCAGACATTACTTGTGCGGCCCTGGGCAAGTCACTTAACCTCTCTTTTCCTCAGTTTCCTCATCTGTAAAATGGGGGTAAAAATTGCACCTACCTCCCAGGGTTGTTGTGAGTATAATATTTGTAAAACACGTAACACAGTTGTGCCTAGCATACAGTAGGTGCTATATAAATGCCAGCTATTAGTGCTGTAGTTGCTATTGAAGTGACTTGCCCAGGGTCACACAAGCAGCAAGGAGCAGTGCTGAGATTCAGACACTGGAATTCTGAATCTAAATACAAGGCTGTATCCATTGCATCCTCCTACTGGCAAGACTACAGAGGTTTCATGTGGAGGCTTCTTGAGGGCAAGAAGTGTTTTATTTTTGTTTATGTATTCCTAGCACCTAGTATAGATTAAGACATTTTACAGATCTTTGCCGAATGGCTGCCCGATTAAGGGGAGGTGATGCTTTGTCTCAGTGCCTGCCTGACCCTCTGTCTCCTTTTCTGTCCCTCCAGCTGAAGGCGCTCTATGCCCTGACCCATCCTCAGGAAAACCCGCGATGGCGGCCAAGCGCAAAGGCGGCCTGAAGCTCAATGCCATCTGTGCCAAGTTGAGCCGCCAGGTGGTGGTGGAGCAGGGAGCAGAGACAGGCCCCCAGCCAGAAGGCGGCCAAGGCAACCCCCTGCGGCCCCGGGAGAAGGAGCAGGGCGGTGGGGTGGAGGCCAAGGTCACCCAGACGCCTCGCAGTGAGGAGGACAGGCGGCGGGCCGTGATCGAGAAGTGGGTGAATGGGGAGTACAGCGAGGAGCCATCCCCAGCCCCAATCATAGGGCGCAGCGTCCGCGAGGGCCTCGAGCTGCCCCCCGAGGGTGTCTACATGGTACAGCCCCAGGGGTGCAGCGATGAGGAGGACCACGCAGAAGAAACTCGGGGGCCCGCCTCCCAGAGCAGCGGCTTCCTGGAAGAACGGGACTCAGACGGGCCAGCGCCCAAGGAAGAGGGTGCAAGCAATGCCAAGCAGGCTTCAGGTGAGGCCGCCCCCACTCTCATGCCTCGCTACCTAGACTTCAGGCATCCTTCGGCATCACTCCTGGGGGGTTCTATCAGTAAGCCATCACCCCAGCAAGTCTGGGTTTGGGGTGGGGTACCCAGGTCCTGAGGCTTTCCCGGGGGAGGAAACCAGGTGAGGTCATAAGATCAGAGACCTCTTATAGAGCCAAAGGGACCTCAGGCCAACCCCCTTGTTTGGTAGATGAAGAACCCAGACACCCGTGGAGGGTAAAGGACTTACCCAGGGTCTTATAGGCAGTAAGTGACGGAGCCACGCTTTGGACCCAGCTCCCCCAACTCCAAATCTAGCAAGCCTCAGTAGGGCAGCTAGCATTTATGAGGCATACGGGCACTATGGTAAGCACATAAAAAGAAAGGCAAAAGACCCAGTTCCAGGGGCAGCTAGGTGGCACAGTGGATAGAGCACCGGCCCTGAAGTCAGGAGGACCTGAGTTCAAATCTGGCCTGAGACCAAACACTTGACACTTACTAGCTGTGTGACCCTGGGCAAGTCACTTAACCCCAATTGCCTAAAAAGGAAAAAAAAAATGTAAAAAAAAAACCCAATCCCTGCCCTCGGGGAGCTCACAGTCCAACAGGGGAGACATCATGCAAACAGCTGTGTCCCAACAAGACAGAGGCCGGATAAAAGCCCTAAGACTGAGGAGGCCTGAGAATGGCTTCTGGCAGAAGGTGGGACATTCGCTAGCGCTTTAAGGAAGGCAGGAAAACATGGAGGAGGAGGTTATAAGAAGAGACAGCGGTCCAGGTACAGCGGACAGCCAGAGACAATGCTCGGAGGCAGGAGATGGAGAGCTGGGTGCCAGGAACAACGAGGAGGCCACTGTTACTACGGTGCCCAGAGGGGAGAAAGGGGCCAGGTTGTAGAGGACTGTGAAAGAAAAAAAAGATTTTATATTTGATCCTGGAGGTGACAAGGAGACGGAGGGAGGAAGGGGGAGGAAGGGAGGGAGAGAAGGGAGGAAGGAAAGAAAGAAGGAAGGATGGGAAGAGAAAAGGAAGGGAGGGAGGGAAGGAAGGGAAGGAAGGAGAGGAGGGAGGAAAGAGGGAAGGAAGGAAGGCACATTTAGTTCTTACAAAGTGCCTGGGATAGAGATAGAAAAGGACAACACCCCTGATCCCAGTCTAGGTGCTTCTACTCAAACGAGGGTGACAGAGGAACTGGCCCGTGTGGGTGTCAGTCAGGGCATTTTCTTTCTGCCAGGATCTTCCCAGGAAGGGAAGGAGGAAGAGGTTGATGGTGCCCTGGGAAGAAGGGTGGAGTCTGCCCAGAGCCCAGCAGGAAGGACCAACTTGCCCTGGCCTCACCCCCAGTCTCAGTGGCTCTTACCAGACCCCATGGAGCAGAACCTGGGGAAGGGGTTGGAGCCAAGAAGTGGGCTCAGGGCCAGGAGTATAGGGGAGTGATCAGGAAGGTGGTCATATGTGAACATGGCTGGGAGCGGGCATGCCTGGCAGGGACCGTGAGCTCTTATGCACTGGCATCTGTTTCCCAAAAGCGTAGTAAGAGTGTGTAGACAGAGGCAGCAGGGAGGCTGGTTAGTTAGTGTTCTACATATTTATATCTTTGATTTCCCCTTGGAATGATTCTGAAAATGCCTCAGTCTCCCTGCACCCTCACCCCATCCCCCTACACCTACTCCTCTGATATCTCATAGAATCTTATCATCTTGGAGCCAGTCTGCAGCATGAATGAATAAATGAGTGAATGAATGAATGAATGCATTCATCTCCACCTCTACCATTCCCCTTGTGGAACATCTTGAATAAATGATCATTCGGGTTCCCAGAGGCGCCCCCAAGAAAGCCAGCTCGAAATGTTAGAAAGTTATCTCCTTATATCAAATTGAAACCTGCCTCCATGTAACTTCCGCCCATCGCTTTTAGCTCTGGCCTCGAGGGCCAAGCAGATTAAGGTTAATCCACCTTCTAACCCTGCCAAGGTCTTCCCTGCGGCTTCCTTCCCTCCAGCCTCTCCTCTGGCCTCCTGCCTCCTGCCTCTTTCTATCTAAACTGCCCTCTGCTTGTGTCCTTCCCAGCTCTCTCCTGGGGCGGCCGAGTAACCTCGGCCTAACTTATTATCCGTTTCGTTCTGAAGACCTTTCCATACAGTGCAAAAAACACTGGCTCTGAAGTCAGAAGACCTGGGTTTGAATCTCCTCATTTCACTTAGTATTTATGTGTGGCCTTGGGCAAGTCATCTAACCTCACTGGGCCTCAGTTTCCTCAACTGTGAAATGAGATTTTTGAGGTTGCTTTCAGCTCTAGCTCTGTAATCCTGTCTCCTCCGTCTTCCTTAGGAGGTGAGGCACCCCGTGGTGTGGATCTTTGGTGCATCCCAGGGCAGGGCAGTCTGGCCGGCCTACACCTGCTCTGCTGACCTCCTGGAAAGGGAAGCGGGGTGGAGGAGAAGTAGGCAGTCAGAGATCTGACTACCGGTGGATTTTAGGAGACCCCAGAGTTTTGGGGTGATCGCCCAGTGGGACTGAATCCCCCAGCCGTGGATCTGTCCTGATGCCCTCCCTTCTTCCCTCCCAGCCCCTGGGGTGGTTCAGGAGGAGCGAGTCAGCCCTATCTGCCCTTCCCCCAGCCCCATTTCCCAGCACCCCCCCCTGCAGTGAGGGGCTCATCTTCCTCCCTGTGCGGGGAGCCCAGGCAGCCACATAATTATGCATATAAGATATAAACAGAGCTGTTTAATTATCCTTCGCCACATCAGTGACAGAGTAATTAACAAACATTGCAAGATCAATGAGGAAAAGTGTGACCTTCAGTTTCCTCTGATAGGGAAAGCCCTTGCCACATTCAGACACAAGGTGATTGCACCAGGGCTGGGGGTGGGGCGAATGAGGAAGGGGGCATGGGCCCCCGGAAGTCTCCCATCTGTGCTGCCTGCTGCCCCCCACAGCCACTGTGGCAAGCTACTCCTGACCTCCTTCCGAAGGGTCTCATGCCTGCCGTGGAAGGAGACTGGGGGAACAACAGGGGGTCAGCCTGGCCTGGGGTGCCCCTCCCTCTACTCGGCCTCCAACTACGGGTCAGAACAAATGGCAACTGAGGGTTGGAGGACCAGGGATGGCCAGGTGGGCCCTTCCATTCTTAATCCTCTCAGCCTGGTGCTGGTGGGGTCACTTTGTGGGGCCACAGCCCTCTGTGCTCCTCACCCCCACCCCCTGCCCATGGAAGCTGCCAGACCTTTGTGCCGGGTGCCCCTGGTTTTCCTTCCTTCATCCCCTCCCAGGCCAGGCCAGGCCAGCCCTTCGGGCCTGCCTTCCCCCAGGGCTCCTAGGAGCTCAGGGGCCATGGGTTTTAGCCTAGGGGCCCCTGGCCCCTGCTCCCTCTGAGCTGCCCTGGGAGGACTTCCCTGCCATATATAGTACGCTGTCTTCAGCTATTTTTAGTCCGCTTCCCCTGGTCCCTGAGCCACATGTGCTGGGGCCAAAGCCCTCTCCTCTGCTCTTCTCTCTGCCAACAGCCACCAGGGCCTGGCATTGCCCGCCTCCCGAGGCCTGCTCTGTCTGAGTACTGCCCGTGAACAGGATGACCGCTCATCCCTCCAGGGCTGACATTGCCCAGAGAGCAGCCTCCCTTCTGACGTCTTCCCAGAGGCCTTCTGCTTTTGTCCCTCTCCTTACTGTCACCTGAGGGGGCAGTGAGAAGATGGCCCAGGACTTTGGGGAGCTCAGAGTGCCCTGTGCCCAGGGGGCTCATTGTCTTGGGGAGCTTGTCATGAGTCCGGCCACCAACCCTTCTCCCCAGCCCCAAAACATGACACAGTGCCTTCTTTGGAACAAATCCCTCCAAGGGCTCCATCAGGAGGTCCTAAGCTTCTCCCCCACCCCTCCCTTTCTCCTTCCTCTTTTCCTCTTTCCTTCCTCTCTCTGTCTCCCTTTCCATCTGCTCTGGCCCAGGGTGTGCTGGGTGTAATCTGTCAAGTTAGACTCTAGACACGCTGGTCCCTCCTGCTGGCTAACAAAGATTCAGTAATTCTGTGAACATTTGGTCACTCTTCTGCTCCCAATTCTTGATTCCTCACACATTGGCTGGAGTGTGTGTGTGTGTATATGGGTGTGGGTGTGGGTGTCTGGGTGTGTAATTACAGGAATCAACCCCAAACTGTGAATGTGAATGGGATGAATTTGCCCATAAAACAGAGGAGAATTGCAGAATGGGTCAGAAAGCACAGCCCAACAATTTGTCATTTACACAAAAGGACCACATGTGCACGTGTAAATTTGTGCCTCTTGTCCCCTGGGTCGGAGAGTTGCCCACACCTGTGTAAGTCTCTGTGTGTATGTGATTATGGAGTTGTATGCCTGCCTTGATATATTTGGGAAATTGTTTAAGCGGCTGTGGTGTTTGTGTCTCTGTAAGGTTGTGTATGTGTCTGCACATGTGTGTGTGCGCGCAGGTGTATTCCTAAATCCTGCTCAATTGCCAGTCTGTAGCATGGTCTTCCTCCTTTCCACTGGGACCCTGCCCTCATTCATCAACCAGCTTTTTAGGCAGCTCTGAGTCTTTTTGGGGGGTGAGGGGAGGTGACAGGAAGCCATCTGAGCCCCTGAGAGCCAGATTCCATTCCCAGCCTGAACCTGTGCTTGCTACCCCCTGTACCACCCGCCCAGGAGAGTTGCAGTGAGTGATTGGAGGCGATGAGGAGGGAGGTTTGAAGGACTCCTGCACACAGTAAATCTTTGCTTGGCGGGAGGGAGGAGGCGATTGCAGGCACAAGAGGGGAGGAGGGCCTCCGTGTCAGATTGAAGCTTAAATGAATCTGAGCTGGCACGTCAGACCAATCTGTATTTCCTCCTTCGCTCTGTTATTGGGTGACCTCCAGCTCCCTTTGAAGGCTCCACTTCTCCCTCTCCCCTCCTCCCTTCACAGTGACCAGCAAAGCAGCCTTGGGAGGACACAGAGACCGCAGCTCGGCTGCCAGTCCCCGGGATGGCCCAGGTTCCCAAGCCACAGAGTCACCTGCCCAGGCTTCTCCTGGCCCGGTGCCATTTCTCCAGGGCCATAGAAAGAGACAGAGAGCAGCAATTTGTCAGGGTGGCCATTGGGTGGGGGTGGGTGGGACCCTTTGTGAGGAGAGAAGGGCAAAGGAAAAAGTGTGGATTGGGCTTCTGAGGACCTCAGTACAAATTACGCCTGGGTTACTTACTACCCATATAGCCTTGAGCAAGTCACTGAACTTAGGTGCCTCGGTTTCCTCATCTGTAAAATGAGAGGGTGGGGCTTGGTGGCCTCTGAGATCCCTTCCAGCTCTCTAAAGCTGTGATCCTGATTCTAACGATGAGAACAATGATGGGTCTGCTTAGCTCGGTGCCTGACCGCATAGTGAGTACACATTACATACTGGGAGACGGACTGACCAGGGTTCAGATCTCGGCTCTGCAGCTTACCGCCTTGGTTAAGCAGGTCATCTCCCCTGTGGGGGCCTCAGTTTCTCCATCTGTAAAATGGAGAGATAAAGCGATGAAATGATCACTAAGGTTTTCTCCAGCTCTATATCTCTGGTGCTGTGAGAGAGAGAGAGAGGGAGAGAGAGAGAGCCAGAAAGGAGCTTTAGAAATCAGCTAGTGCCACCCCACCTTTACGTTACATTACGTCACATCACAGATGAAGAAACTGAGGCCCGAAGGAGTTCAATGGCTTGCCAATTCTGAATCAGTGATGCTAAGGATGAGACAGGAGGAACGTGGGAGGCCTTGAAAGGATTCCACAGGGCCCTCCCCAGCTGCCAGGGCTCCCCCTCCTCCCCGGAAATTTATTTGCATATATTTTGTACTTCCTTATCTCTGTCTGTACTGTTCCTTGCTTCTCCCTCCCCCAACAGAAAATGAACTCCAGACAGTTTTCGTGTTTCTCTCTGTTCGCCCGGCACCTAGCATAGTGCCTAACGCATAGTAGGTGCTTAATGAGCGCTCATAGAAGGAATGAATGACCCTACCCCGACCCTGCCTTCCGTGTCTTCTCTCTTGGACGTGTTGGTGTCTGCACTCTTTCTTTCCCCCGTTGCCCTCTCCTGACTTGTCTTCTGTGTTGGATCTTGGGGGAGACGATCCGGGTTCAAATTCTGGCTTTGCTGTTCTTCCGCTTTGTGACCTTGGGCAAATCACTTCCTCACTCTGGGCCTCAGTTTTTTCTTCTGTGAAATGGGGGAGGGTGTCCTTGATGACTTCTAAGATCCTTTCCAAGTCTAGGTCTCTGATTCGATGATGCTTCCCGGCCCGGCCCGTCAGTCCCTGACCCATTTTCCCACTTGCCCCCACTCTCCCTCCGCTCCCAGGAGAAGGCCCAGGAGGTGCATTTTCGCTGGCCTCACTTCCAGTAAAATCACTTTTCCTTCATATTAGGCCAAGGCGAGAGCACAGAGACATTTATGAAACTTTGTTTAATGTACTGAAAAGCCATCGGCCAGAACATTTAGGAAATTGATTTTCCTGGCATTGATGAACTCGTTTTATTTTACCCCAGTATTAATTACTTTTTTTTTAAACAAATTAATTTAAGAGTCGTAAAACCTAACAAGTGAGCCAAATGTCCGTAGATCATGTCCCCTCGGCCCCCCCCCTTGGGAGGAGAGAAGATGGAGGGAGGGGGCCCAGGGACGAGGTGCCCCTCGTCCAGCCCTCTGAGCTGTGTCTGGGAAGAGCCCCTCGTCCATCTCTGCCCCCTGACTGACCCCCTTCTCTGGCCCCACAGGAGAAGCCTCCTCCCTCCGAGACTACGCCGCCACCACCATGAATGAGTTCCTGGGCATGTTTGGCTACGATGACCAGAACGTGAGGGACGAGCTGGCCCGCAAGGTCAGCTTTGAGAAGCTCCACGCCACCGCGGCCCCCGAGGCCTCCCCGGTGCCCCCAGCCTCGGAGGACAGCAAGAGGCCCAGGTTCTCCAAGTACGAGGAGTACATCCGTAAGCTCAAGGCCGGCGAGCAGCTCCCGTGGCCCACGCACAGCGCCAAGGCCGAGGAGAGAGCGGGCAAAGAAGCCGGGCCCATGCCGGGCCTGCGGCTGCCCAGCAACACGGCCAACCTGGAGACCAAGGCCACCATCCTGCCCCTGCCCTCTCACAGCAGCGCCCAGATGCAGGGGCTGGTGGCCCGCGCCTCCAAGTATGACTTCTTCATCCAGAAGCTGAAGACCAGCGAGAGTCTGAGACCCCAGAATGGCAACACCTACAAGAAGCCGTCCAAGTATGACCTGGAGAACGTCAAGTACCTGCACCTCTTCAAGCCCGGGGAGGGCAACCCAGACATGGGGGGCGCCATCGCCTTCAAGACCGGCAAGGTGGGGCGCCCCTCCAAGTACGACGTCCGCAACATCCAGAAGCTGGCGCCCGTCAAAGCACCCCCCGCCCCCAGCCTGGCCCCCGCACCCCTGGCCAGCGCTCCAGGCGCCGCCCCCGTGGTGGGGCCCGAGCCACCCGTCTCCCTGCCTTTCAACACCCCCGAGTACCTGAAGTCGACCTTCTCCAAGACAGATTCCATCACAACGGGGACTGTCTCCACCGTCAAGTAAGCCTCCTTCGCACGCGTACACACACACACACACCCCTCACCCAAGTAATGCATGCCTGTTGAGACCATCCCCTGTTCTGTGAGCGGTAACTGGAGTGGTAGCCCAGGCCCCCAGAGGATGCAAGCTGCCTAGCCCAGGCTCATTGCCAAATAGACTTGGTTTGTTTTGGGGGGGTTTCCTCCCTCTAGTATCCCGGGATACTAGAGCTTATTGTAGAGAGAGTTATGGGACAAAGAAATGAGGGCCAGGGTGTAGGGTGGGTCTTCTAGGGGAGGCAGGCTCCAGAGAGGGACCCAGCCTGTCCTGGTGTATCTGAACCTGCCATATGCCCAGGACACTCAGAGTTGTCGGGACAAGCTTTCCTCAGCCTGTGCCCACGGGGGCTGGGACCCAAGAAATGGTGACTGGCCAGGTTGTACCTAAGACTCAGCTTCTGCTCCCCCAAGAGTTCTTCAGGGACCCAGGGCAGCGATGGTTGGAGGATAGCGTTCTCTGCGTCATACTCCTCCCTTTCTCTTCTCTGCTCCCTCCAGAGCATCCTGTGTTTCCTCCCAACCTTGGAGAATGACCACCCAAGTTCCTTCCCCGAGCTTCATCCCTGGCACTCCTTTGGTTGCCGGCGCTGCCCCGCCCCGTGCCATCCAGGCTTTCCTCGTTACAGGGTTTATTTGGCCAAGGGGACCTCACTCTGCAGTGTGACTGATCCCTCATACGGGCTGTGTCCCAGCCTGGGTCTGGCCACTGAATTCCCTGCCTGCCTGGGGCACCGGTGCCTAAACCCCAGGGCCAGGGAGTCTAATGACAAGCCAGGTCATTAGACTGGGCCTTGGGATCTCTCTCTCCTTTCCCAGCAGGCGGTACAGAGAGGGCACGGGGCCAGGCCACCTGTGCCCCTCCCTCTCCTGCCCTTCCACAGCATCACAGAGACGCTGGTCAAGCAATAAGGCAACTGATGGCCTCCCTTCCGCCTCCCTCATCTGACCTGTAAAGCCTAAGAGTGTCCTGCCACGGATGTTACGGGCTGGTCTTTTTTTCAGAGAACACACCTGTACATTCTTCTTCCCTTTCAAAGACATCTCTTAGTTAAGGAGCAGCCTGTGCTTGGCCCCACAGGAGATGTATTTGTGGAGAGAAGGACCGAGGTGAAAAGTGAGACGCCCCTGGCCAGTGGACCCCAACTCCCTGACTTGCTGTTGGACCCCTGAGGCCCTTCCTTCTGTGCTCTCAGGCCGTCCTGCCCTGAGTGACCATTAGGCCCATGGTCCAGTCCATCTGGTATCTCTGGGGCCTTTGGCTCACCCAAGCCCACCCATGGATGGCCAGGCCTGGGTCTGGGCTTCTCCCCAAGGGTTGGGGGTCCCTCGACCAGGCGGTGCTTCCACAAAGGTCCCTGCTGCCTTCACACACCTGCCTCCCTCTTGGTGCACCAGCCTTGGCTGGGGATTAGCCTCTGAGGTAGTGCTACCTCAGTTGCAGCTATTCTCACTTCCTCTTGAAGTAATGAAGTCACCCACGTAGTCTGGCCCCTTAACCTTCCACGGTTGTGGGCTCCTGATGGTTCTGACCCTACCACTAGCTGTCAGAAGTAAAGAAAATCTTGAGGAGGACTGAGTCAGGGAGTCTGACTGGGAAAAGCACTGTGGTGCAGAGGAAGAAATGGGGAATTTGAAGGGTTCAAATCCTGCCTCTGCGACTTGCTACCTGTGTGACTTTCAGCAAGCCTCTTACCCCTCTCTGGGCCTCAGTTTCCCCATGCATAAAATGAAAGTTGGGCTAGATGACCTTGAAGGTCTTCCCAGCTTTGACATTTTGTCCTAAGATCCCTCCCAGCTCTGACATCCTGGGTTCTAAGGGCCCTCCCAGCTCTGACATCCTATGTTCTAAGGCCCCTCCCAGCGCTGACATCCTGTGTTCTAAGGGCCCTCCCAGCCCTGACATCCTGGGTTCTAAGGGCCCTCCCACCCCTGGCATCCTGTGTTCTAAGGGCCCTCCTAGCTCTGACATCCTGTGTTCTAAGGGCCCTCCCAGCTCTGACATCCTGTGTTCTAAGGGCCCTCCCAG